CTTGTTCACGCTCGGGTGCGCCGCGTTTGAGCTCGAGAGGGATTCCAAAACACCCCTCCCCCCCTCCTCGCTCAACACAAAAGTTCGCCCGATACGAATGCGATGTTTACTGTTGCGATGTTCCCTGTTGAATGCGATGTTTACTGTTGCGATGTTCCCTGTTGAATGCGATGTTTACCGTTGAACACGATGTTGTTGACTTTTCATCGCATCGAACCAACGAGGCTTGTTCCACGCAACTTCCGCCGGACCGTCTCGCAGCGAGCCCCGTTACCATTTGCCCCCCCCCCCCCCCATTTCTCCACTTGATCGGCTTGATAGGAGCCGCCTCTTGTGCAGATGGTGTCGTCTTTAATAGCCGCTCGACAGCTCGCTTCATTGAACCCTGCGAGCCACTGCACGTGGTACGAAATCGTCATCGTCGTTGTCAATCATCACAAGCATCACCAATCATCATCATTCATCACCAATCATCACCAATCATTATCTTTCATCCATAATAGAGGTTGGTTGTTTTTTCATGGGGGGGTGGGGTTAGATCTGACACCGTTTTGAGACTAGGCTCCAAAAAAAGCTGTCTCTGGTGTGGACCAATCAGTTTCGAAGACAATTCATATATTATCAGAGTACGTTTTTTTGTTTGCATTTTGACCACAATTATTGCGGTTAATGCAGACATGATTCCTTGTAAAAGGTTTCAGTTTGGTGTTTTAACATCTTAACACAGCTGTTTTGTTGCCAGAAAAAGGGGAAAACCTATTCCCATAAATAAACGTGTCGTTAAACCCGCTACCACCCGACACAGCCAATTAGTAATGTTTGCCACGTAAACAGAACGTGCTAATTCGTTACTAGTAAAGCACACCGGTTTGTTGGAAAATAAATCCCTCCAACACACTGGTGTAAGGAAGCCTACATGTTAATCATCAATCATCATCATCGTTCAACATCATCATCATCATCAGATGTTGCCTATCAATTGTCGGACGAATATCTTCCATCTCGATCCTGCACATGACCTCATCTCTTCGCTCCATCTCCGCGGGGTTTGCGGTCGTCTTGGACGAGCTTCTCTCATTTGGTCTGCCATTCCTTCGCCAGTTTCACCATTTCGTGTCGAAGAAATGTCAATTATTATTATTAAATGGCTTATCAGGTAATACTGTATATAAATTAAGCATTACAACCTTACTGGGTATGGAGTCGAAATTAATTTTGGAAAAAAATAATTATTTGGATTTTTAAGGAAAATTTCAGATGCAATTTTAGATCATGTATGTTGGGGTATAATATTAATTGTATTTGGTGGAAGACGTCTTAATGTATAGGGGACTGCAGAGTTTGGGCAAGAGTAGTTGGTGCCATCTCACCACCTGGCGGCCTTCCATCTTGCCTGTGAGTCTTCGGCAATTGTGAAGAATGCAATTTGCTTGGACGACGACGCCACTTAAAGCTAAAACACAATTATCGTGAGTTAATTGATAATTTTACGGACATTCGTGCTCATAAAAGTGACGTCACCTGATTCCACGGTGTCGCCACTTACGGTAGGAAAGGCACGGATTTCACACCTGATGATGATTAAAAAAAAAAATTGACATTTTTTATTTTTATGTCATCAGTGTGAAAAAAAATCGAGAACCCGTAATGATAACGTAGTCAACCTCATAATGATTAGCCAGCACTATTCCCATCATTTAAAAATGTATTCAATGACATTTCCCGTGACGCATACTTTTCGAACAAATCCAAAGTAGTATTTATTACGGACCGACGAAAATGTCATATCTAGGCCAGATTAAAAAAAAAAATTTTTATTTCATCAGTGTGAAAAAAAATCGAGAACCCGTAATGATAACGTAGTCAACCTCACAATGATTAGCCAGCACTATGCCCGTCATTTAAAAATTCTCCCGCAGATAATGGATAGCGAATGTGGTTCATATATCTTACCACCCACGTGTTGAGTCCCAGTGCACTTGAAATGTTTAACGGCAGTGGCCAATAAACTCAGCCAGATGAATTGTCAGCCCTCTTTCGAGACAGATGTGATTTGAACACTTACCGGCCGTCAATGACGATGTGCACGAGACGTGAGATAATTAAAATTGCCAGGTTTTGCTCTTGGGAAACTTCATGCGTTACCATTTTCTCAACCGCCCGCAAATAAATAGTGATGGCCGTTGGAATTTGGTGGACAATTTATGCGTGCTTATGCACGCACACACACAACACGCGCGCATATGCATATATACGGCGGAATATTAATAACATTTCGCTAAGTCCTACAAATCACCGCTATAATGAGACACAGTTCACACACTGGGAATTTCGTGTGCATAAACAAGGAAAGCATGCTCGTGACGGCTTATTTAAATCGACTTGTATTAGCATTCCCAGCACGGCAGCCATGGACGTGTGCATGTTCTAAGCTAAACGTATTCCTCACTGTAATTCTAGGAAACTCACAAGTTATTCTCTCTAATTTGACTTCCTGAAAAGCTTTTTTTTTTAATTGGCGGGCTTGATTTTTCCACGTTTACCACAAGTGTCTGTGATCTTTTTTTGGCAGCACGGATACACTCAAGATTTATTTACTTACGATGCCTCCAAATATCGCAGTTTCATACGCGGTGTCTGTCGGCCCGGAGAATCGCGTGAACGCCCAACGATGAGTGGTGGCGCAGCGGTTAGCGTGATCCAATGCAAACCGAGCCAGCTCGGTTTAGATATCCGGCCACGGCTGAACCGGTTTCGCGGCCTCCCATGCAGTAGGTCAACTCAGCCCTTAATAAAAAGTGCTGGGGGCATTGCACAAATCATCAGCACCGAGGAGACCGGGCAAGTGCCTAGGCACACCTCCTTCACGTCTGCTGTGTCCGCTTTAAAAGGTCCTGGCTATCAGATCGTTTATATTATTTGGCTGCTATACATGCCACGTGGCAAGCTATTTCCTTGAGTTATCGTTTGTGGCCAGGTCGCTTCTGCAAAATATGTTAATATGCTCAGTGGGCTTTACCTGGTAAAATACTTTAAAAAAACATTAAAATACAATTCTCACGTGAGAATTGTATTTTATTGTTGTATTTATAATAATAAAAATAAAACATAATAAAATACAATTCTCACGTGAGAATTGTATTTGATTATGTTTTATTTTTATTATTTTATTATTTCCCTTCTACGTGATTTTACCGAAAGAACCAAGATGATCAATCCCTGCAGTCACGAAAGCTTTAAATCGAAATTTAACATTTGTTGTGATACGCCTACCTTACCTATACTGGACTTTACACTCCTCCCGTGTTTTCGTATTGTTTGTTGATGTAACTTTCTGACCCGTTGTGAACTAAATTCTAAGAGCCTCTCAGAAGGGCCGGAACAAAAAAGTTGATAAAACTGGTTTTCAAAAATTGTCGACCCCCCCCCCCCAAAAAAGTATTTTGTAGGAATATTTACATACACACCCTACATACAATATATACATACACGCCCTACATACAATATATACAGACACACCCTTCATACAATATTTACATACACACCTTACATACAACATATACATACAGTACACGCCCTACATACAATATCTACACACACCCTTCATTAACTAGGCAGGAGTATCTGCTCAAAGCAGTGGGAGTGACGGGCGAGGCGTCACCAAAATTTTAGTCCTTGAAAAAAGAGCCTCATAGCTCATCGGATTCCTCCAGTATAAATACATATTCTGATTCTTATTCTGATTTGCCCTGACAGTTTGTGAAAGGCTATACGGGAAGAATGTGTTTAATGTCAGCTGTATATAGAAATGTTTGTTTGTTTGGGGGGAGTCTAAATGCCTTCTTCGCGACAGAGATACTTTTAAAATCCCACAGGTTGATCAGAAATTCCAGTCGGAGATTAAAGCGCGTGCGGAATAACAACACCAGGATGTTATTTTTCAGACCGCCGGCTTTGTTTGAGTTTTGTTCATGCAAAAAGCATTCCAAGGTAAACACAAGCGGCAGTTATTATTGCAAAAACCCACAGTCAGTGGAGGCGAATTTGGCGGTAATAATTCATGCAGATATGTTATGGAAAGCTGCCTTAAAGCGAAAAAAAAACGAGCACCGCTCCGACAAATGTTTTTCCGTTGACATTTTAATTATTTTGAATAAATAATGTGAGCGGTGGTAATTTGAGTTCTCCAGAGCTCGCTCCGCATTTGCGCGGGCTGATTGCTCACGATCGGCACGTTTCGAACGGAGATTGTGTTGGTGCCCTGAGCGTTCAAATGTAAACCGCCCTCTGACCTGTGGCCAAATTGTCCAGAATGATGGGCCTGACATCATCAGCATCGGATCTCTGGAGGGAGACGAAGCAGTAAGGGACTGAGCCTGGATAAGTAAGTGCTTGAATCGGGTCACCTCCGATTCGTGCCTCCGATTAGCACGGTTGGCTACATACGGTGCGAAAAAAGTTACTACGGAACATACGTAGAGCGTACATGACCACACCACGTAGGGTTGTTAGTAAGGGCCGTGGGGCTACGCTAGTGGACAGCACAGGGCGCGTCGGACACGACACACAGGAGTGCTGCACTTATACGCTTTCCTGCGTTCCCAAAGCGGCATTGACCGGCGTGCTGAAATGACGATGACGACGATGATGACCAGCGTGGTGTGAGCACGCTCGTCGTTCATTACACTGTGTAACAATTGTTTTTGTTCCTGGGTAGTAAGTGTTATTTCCACATTGCTTATGCCTCGAAAGTACAGAAAATGGCTATTATTCCCCACGAACTTTGCTATTGTGACCAGGACAGTGATATTTTGTGATGTACCTATTTTCCAGAACATTCCAGATAGATTCAGTGCTGAGTAAGCTTGGAGTATTTTCTAGAACATTCTAGAACATTCTAGAACTTTTCAGTAATATAAACATTAGTATAAATACAGGGGCCTTAAGCCCATCAGTTCAGTTTAGTTACAGCTGCCTAAGTGGATCAATATCTGATTTTTTCTGCGATGGCATCAAGAGGCTGCAAGTATCCGGCAGACGCATTTTGCGGCCAATTTATCAAGACAAGAGCGATAAAGTACTCTGTGGAAGCATCTGCTAAGATGTGTGAGGCTTTCAAGGCATATTTTGGCATGCCTGTCGGGGATCAAAACAAACCCTGGGCACCTCATTTCACCTGCGAGCAATGCAAAAAAACTCTGGAAGGTAAGATGTACAATTGTTGCTCAGAATTTTATGTTATAAAATGTGTTAAAATTTTTGAAATAGGAAAAGTTCTAAATTTTAAAATGTTTTACAATTTTCAATGTTATTGAAAAAATCTATCATATTTGAAAAATGTTTCGAGAATCTCTTACACATTAGTCATTGGTGAAATAAATGTATTTTTGTCGGATGGAACAGAGGGGAAAAGAAATCCATGAAATTCGCTGTCCCAAGATTTGGCAGGAACCCACTGACCACTCAAGCAACTGCTACTTCTGCATGGTGGACCCTTCCAGACGTCGGACTGGCAAGAATACACCTGCTATCACGTACCCGGACCTTCCTTCACGCATCGCCCCGGTGCCACACTGCCATGAGTTCCCCGTACCCACTCCTCCGGAGAGAGAGCAGCCGTCTTTAGAAGAGAGCAGCAAGTCAAAGAGCGAGGAAGACGTTTTAGATCCAAATGACAATTTCAGAAGTTGAGCTGAGGAGAGAAACCCATACTACCCCAACCAAAAAGACCTCAACGACTTGATCAGAGATCTTGGTCTCACCAAGTCCAATGCCGAGCTTTTGACGTCTAGGCTCAAGCAGTGGAACTTGTTGGATAAAAGTGTGCAAGTCGCAGATCAGAGGAAGCGTCGCCAACCTTTTTGCAGCTTCTTCACCCGTCAAGATGGGCTCTGCTTCTGCCACAATGTAACCAGTCTGTTCGAGGCAATTGGAATCGCCTGTAACCAGAATGAGTGGCGCCTCTTCATTGACAGCTCATCCAGGAGTCTCAAAGCCGTGCTGCTCCATAATGGTAACAAGTACCCGTCTCTTCCCCTGGCTCACTCGGTGCACCTCAAAGAGGATTACAACAGCATCAAGACCTTGCTGGACGCCTTGAAGTATGAGTACGGCTGGGAGGTCATCAGATACTTAAAAATTGTGGCATTCCTGATGGGTCTCCAAGGCGGTTTTACCAAGTTTCTCTGCTATCTTTGCCTTTGGGACAGCAGGCACACCAAGGCGCACTACCACATGCGGGACTGGCCACAGCGGACCGAGTTCTCTGTGGGGAGGAACAACGTCAAGTGGGAGCCACTGGTGGACCCCCGGAAGGTGCTGATGCCACCATTGCACATCAAATTGGGCCTTATGAAACGATTTGTCAGCGCTGTAGATAAGGAGTTGGCAGCCTTCAAGCACCTTCAAGACTTCTTCCCTAAGCTGTCTGAGCCAAAGGTCAAACCCGGTGTCTTCGTCGGACCACAGTTAAAGAAGATCCTGGAGTGCAATGAATTCCCCAAGAAGCTCACTAGTAAGGAGAAAGTGGCTTGGACAGCTTTGTCGCAGTGGTTCGTGGCTTCCTGGGCAATCACAAGGTCGAAAACTATGTGGAGCTGGTTGAGACTGGTGAAGAACTATGGCACAACGGGCTGTCGGATGTCCATCAAAGTCCATATCCTTGATGCTCATCTTGATAAAATCAAGGAGAACATGGGAGCATACTCGGAGGAGCAAGGCGAGCACTTTTACGAGGATATACTGGACTTTGAACGCTGCTACCAAGGACAGTATTACGAGAACATGATGAGAGACTACAGTTGAGGACTGATTCGTCAAAGTGATTTACAGTATAATCGTAAATCTCGAAAACTACTCGCTTCTAAATCTTTTGTCGTAATTTTTTTATTACTTTAGTATAAATACATGTTTATTTTGATTCATATGTATTTTTTTCTGACTTTATGTGAACAAAAAGACACAAATTCGCCCGTTTTCTCATTGAAAATGGGTAAACTTTCAAAATATTTCTGTCCTGGTCACAAAAGCAAAGTTTGTGGGGAATAATAGCCTTTTTTCAATACTTTTTAGGTCTAAGCAATTACGAAATAACACTTACTACCCAGGAACAAAAATTGTGTTACACAGTGAATTATTCATCAGTGGATCGACGGATAAGGCCTTTGTAATGTACACGTTAAAAAAAAATACACAGTAAGTATATGCGGGGCGTTCATAAGACGTCCTATCAATTTTTGTTGTTGTGTTGAATCCCACTTAAACGCGTCGTTGTTTACTGCTGCCTGCAGCATGCTCGGGGCGCCGTGATGCTCCGCGTATTTGGAATGCACTTTGCGCAAAACGATGCATGCGAACGTAAAATGAAATGATGTTTCGGCAAGAAACGGGACACACACTTCGATTGAAAGCTTTCGTGACTGCATGGATTCATATTCTTGGTTCTTTCGGTAAAGTCACGTAGAAGGGAAATAATAAAATAATAAAAATAAAACATAATAAGATAAAATTCTCACGACGTTTCGGCCACAACGCAAGCAGCCGTCCTCAGGTGAAGAAGAGAGCGTCCTAATACGAAATAACACTTACTACCCAGGACGCTGTCTTTCCGACAGCCCTGTTCTTCACCTGAAGACGGCTGCTTGCGTTGTGGCCGAAACGTCGTGAGAATTTTATCTTATTATGTTTTATTTTTATTATTTCCCTTCTACGTGACTTTACCGAAAGAACCAATAATATGGGACACACACTGTGTCGGTAACGCCTTAAAGTGAATGCATTGTACATTTTAATTGTTCTCTCTTTATGTTACACGTGGGCGCCTATGAGCTAATGTATTCATTTTCTTCAGCACTTTCATGCGTTAATAATCGTCTTAATGGGATGGTCCGTTTCCATAGCACTTGATGCTTTTTTAATTCATTTATGTCTGGGTTATCAAATGACTGAGCGTGTGTGCAATTATTATATACATATTTTTAAAAGCTTCCAATTCCATTTCTGGTATTAAAATTACATGATAGTTTGTTGATATACGGTAAATATAAAACAATGGGTCGCGAAACTGTTACTGCTCCGCACGAATTGTGAACTGAAGGAATGCCCCGTAAGCAAGATATGCATTTTCATTATTCAATAAAAACAAAAACATTAATTAATATCTTGATTGCTATACCGAGGAATGTGGATGACAATATCGCCGACCATGTTATTCGTGGGGGTTTATCCGCAATTTTACTCCATTTATTGACGTTAAAAATCGCAAATAACCTGCGGATAATATAATTAATTTGCCGCTTAAAGGTTCTTCTGCAAAACAGCTTTGGGAAAAAAGCAATGGAAAATTGCGGGTAATAGGATTTTTTTTGGCGGTAATCGAGATACAATAAGTTCTGTATTCGTTATCATTTCTAAATAGTTTATTAATTGCATTGCATATTGTGGCATGACCAATGCACGGCTGCGATTTAGACACTGGCTCAATGTTCACTGTGAATTGCCAACACGAGTTGATATCACCAGGACAGATGGGATAGTTTGTGCAAATGGTAAAAAAAAAAGAATACTGGCTTCTGTTTTCTGACCAAAACACTCAGTTGCCAAGATACGGCTCCGGTGCATTTTGCAGCAACTCAGGAGGATGAGTAAAATACACAGAAGAAAAAAAAACTCCGATGACGATGAAAAAAAATGTCCTTGAAATGCATCACAGCGGCGACTTCGGGCACCAAATATACGACAACATTAATGCTTTCTGACGTCCAATTACTGAGCTGTGCACTGCGGCCATCGGGGGAGTGTTTAGAAGAGCGCACGAAACTTGCAAAACTCCCAGGTGTGCGGGGAAAGAATGGCAGATAGGTGAAGCTATACTCATAGGCTCCTTCACAGCCACATAGCACGAGGTGCATCTTTACATGAACGTAAAAAACCTCCCCATTTCAGCCCTCCTGTCTTTGCTTTAGCCCAGTTCAATAGCAATGTGTGCAGTGAATATTAATACAAAAGCAATCATATTTATGTATTCGCCACGTAATCGGTGTGCAACGGTGGAACTGCCACGCTGTAAAATGTCATTTTACAATAGTTGTGTTTTTCAATTTCAACATTCATAGAGTGGTTGAATTTTGAATTACAACCAAATCACCTCGAACGTGCCCGATCTCATCAGAGCTCGGAAGCTAAACATGTTTGAGGCTTGATGAAGATTGTATGGGCAAACGCCATGCATAACAGATGCTATAGGTTACTGCGGAGCTATATTTATGGGCAGCGGAGGGAATTGCAGCAAAATCCATTGCTGTGTTATATTGGGCCACAGTGGGCAACACTGACCTGTACACGGTGACACGTGGTCGAATAACAATCACGCCCCACATTGTGTATGTTGCTATGTTGAACCTATTTCGCACCGTACGTAGCCAACCGTGCTAATCGGAAGTGTTGGGTGAAAGGACAACATACTAAATACAAAGAGCAGTTCTAAAGAAGTTACTTTGCAATCTATGCATAGCTCCAGTGGCTTCCTAACATTGGAGGGAAGAGCGTTCCAGACGGCCGCAAGAAGCGCATCTGAAAGCGTGCTATGCGGTGGCGGCCTTTGGTCGATGGCCAGCCAAAAGCTGCTGCGAGGATGACCGGAGCCCGCATCACGGTTGATGCTCATTGACGAGGTAGGAGAGATCCTATTCATATTCCTAGGTTTTTTCGGTAAAGTCACGTAGATAAAACATTAAAATTAATAAAAGTAAAATAAAATAAAAATCACGATGTTTCGGAGGCAACACAAGCTTCCGTCTTCAGGTGGAACCGTCACAGCCACGACAGCTGTATCAACTAAATGAGAGATTACAAGAGCTACCTACCATTCCGTATATATAATGGTTGGAGAGGGGGGAAGGGCCAAGTACGGCACACTTTTTATTAATATGGTAAGGTGAGGCTTAAGAGGCTGAGCCTTTGTTATGGAGAGATACGGTCTGTGACTAAGCCTGGCCTACATAACAATAGTGTGAAAAAAGAAACAACTAAACATGGTAAAACAAGCCTGGCTGTCTATCAATAACCTGTAATAGTTGTCTGTCAAATAAGATGGTCCAAATAAGTGTAGTTAAGATCCTGTTTCAGCAGTGGGTTTGCAGTGTACACAGTGATTGGCACAAGACAGAGGAAAGTGGAAACACGTGATGAAATGTGCAGTGGACACCTATCGGATATCTTCCTATGGATCCTCATGATGATGAGTACCCACCAAAAAAAAGTCTGAATACTCCGTGAGGCTTTCATGGATAAATAATGGGCATCATCATTATTATTTATAGTAACAAAAGGCAAAGGTGGAGCCCTGAAATGCATTGCGTGTGCCACTGCTGGCGCTATCGTGTGCCCCTCCAGCGGGTATTTTGGCCTATTCTTCCACCCCTGCCAGATGTCTCGGAAGAGGTGGGAGTAACCACGCTTTTTATCCCGCCACGCGCGACCAGCCGATGCATTCTACCGCGGCGTATCAATCTTATACCACCGGCTGGGGGAATATTTTAAGAAACTTGCACCATTGTTTTAAATGCCGCCGCTGGGAGATCTATTTTCACCGGTGACGTCCGGATTGCAGGCCCAGTGCGCGAACCACTACGCACAAATGCGGCAGCATGTTTATTAATATTATTCATTGTCAATATATTTATGTGGGATTATAGCGCTCGCATTGTTATTGCCCAGTGGGATGGCTGCAATATGTGTGTGTGTGCAATAGTGCAGCGGTTAGCACGCTGCGCTACGAACTCGGTGACCCGCGTTCGATTCCGGCTCTACGGCCAATATTGGTGACGATTGTCTTTAATGGTCCTGGGCCTGCCCTAGGTCGACTGAGCCTCAAATGAGTGTCTGGTGCAGTATGTAAAAATCGCCACTCGGGAGACAAAGGCGGCCGGGCATGGTGCTGGCCACCCACCCCCTTGTGTGTCATGCCGGCCTTCGTAGGTGCTCACCAACAGTATCTTAAACCTACACGGGGGATCTTTGTTTTTGCAAGTGATGTGTCACATGCATAAATTTGAGCAGCAGCATTTTGACCCAAATCACATACCCATTACTCAGTGGTCGTCATAGCAACCCCAGCATCTCACTTCTGCATCGCGAGCGTAGTTTGAACACCTCGGAATGCTTTCGGTCATCTATTTTCATTCATTTACGAGTCCCTGGCAGTAATCAAAGTGCAAGGAAGCCTATTGAACTATTTAATTATTACTACTACTACTACGTTATTATTGGCATCGATTTTTGTTCTGCTGTTGTTACTAATCCCCGCAGATTAAAATGGAAATGGTTATTGATACTGCGCCCAATTTTCAGATATCGACTTTAGCCGTTGTATAAATTATAAGCTAGTTAGTGTACTGGGAGGTTAGAGGAACGTGTGAGTGTGTGTGCGTAGTGGTGGTGCAGTGGTTAGTGCGCCACGCCACGAACCCGGCGACCCGAGTTCGATTCCCGATAACGTCCAACGCCAGTGACGATTATCTAAACCGGGTCCTGGGCCTCCGATAGGTCGACTCAGCCTCAAATAAGTACCTGGTGTGCGGTGTGTATGCATCGCCAACTCGGGAGACAAAAAGCGGCCGGGCGTGGTGCTAACCATCTCCATCTTCATAGGGTGCTCGCTAACAGCACTTGCTCCCAGCAGTCTAAATTTCGATTTAAAGCTTTCGTGACTGCAGGGATTCATCTTTTTGGTTCTTTCGGTAAAGTCACGTAGAAGGGAAATAAGAAAATAATTAAAATAAAACATAATAAAATAATTCTCACGACGTTTCGGCCACAACGCAAGCAGCCGTCCTCAGGTGAAGAACAGGTCTGTCGGAAAGACACCGAAAGAACCAAGAAGATGAATCCCAGCAGTCTGTTAAGGCTCCGCGGGGGGGGATCTTTGTCTTCATTTGTGCGCACGTGCGGAATCTGAGACGTTCGGAGTCGTGTCAGAGGGCTTGTGAATTGTTGTTTATTCTCGATTTGAAGCTTTCGTGACTGCAAGGATTCATACTCTTAGTTTTTTAGGTAAAGTCACGTAGGTAAAAAAATGAAATAAAAATTAATAAAAATAAAATAATATCAAGTGCCTCACTTGATACAGCAAATACAGCAAATCTGGCTGTGACGGTCGCACCTGATGATGGAGACTTGTGTTGCCTCCGAAACGTAATGATTTTTATTATTTAATTTTTATTAATTTTAATTTCATTTTTTTACCTACGTGACTTTACCGAAAAAATTAAGAGTATACTTGTAGTTTAGTCCGATTGACTTGTGCGCCGAGAAATATTGTTGAGTCGTTGCCAGATCACGGCGCTCCACGGGGAATTGATTATGTTTGCAAATTAACGAGAAACCAAAAATTACGACATGGCGACAATGCAATGTTTCGTATTGATATGCTTCAAAAGTTCGACATTGACGTCACATGGAATAATCCATATTCGTGGGAGATTGGTGTTGCTGTATTAACCTTACCTTTGCAAATTCACCTGCGGCCATGTTAAAGAGATGGCTAGATTCCCCGTGGCCAGTTTCACTCCACTGCTGGGTGAACGTCTCCCCCATGGGTTGGGTGGAGTGGAGTGATGGCGCGGTGGTCCGCGCGGCTGTGCTGAGTTCGCGCCTCACCGTCAACATCGGTGGCCATGTGAGATCTGAACTGGATTTTTGGCATCCCCCCTTCAACCAGTCTGAACTCACCAGCGCGGTGAAGTAGAGTCAAACGACCCCCCACCACCCCCCACCATTACTGACGCGGCATGGGGAGAGCTTTTAATCCAGCAGTGGATTGACAAAGCGCTGCAAGCCACAATGCAAACTTCATTTGAATTCTCCTTGAAAGAGCGAAGCTGTCCCTTCGAGGTGAATGTCTTGTGTGACTGCTTGGGTAGGTCTGACTTTAAATTTAATAACTAATTAGTTTTCACTGAGACTTTGGGGCTCATTTTCAAGAAGGTTTCAGCTTTAACGTGTTGGACAACTCAATTTATTCACATTAGGTCTCCCTTGCAGAAGAAAAAAAGACACTTGGTTCGTGCGCTTTGAATAATTTTATACAATGATTTTTAAATTGTTTTCCATCCAATCCTGGACGAGGTCTTACCGTGGGGT